ATTTTCATGGCTCAACCAATTCAAATCACCATTTCACAAATCTTAAGACAAGGAGAAAGACAGAGAAAACTACTCAAAACTCATGGGAAAAACACAACAAAACTCGGAATTTATATATAAAAGCAAAGTCATACAAACTACAACAAGTAAATAAACTTATCTCTAATTTCTCCCCAAGCAAACTCCTTGAAGTTCCTCTGAATCTCTTCCTTTTTTGACAACACGCAAAATTCCTCTTTGAAGCGGCAAGGAGAAAGAAATCTCTTACTTTCCCTCCACTCTTACAATCTCTCAAAGAATTCCTCACAATTTAGACTCTCTACACTTTCCCAACAATTAATTCTTGAGCATCCTCGTCCTTATTTTCAGCCAAAGTCTTCTCTTTAAAGATGTGGATGAGTTTTTTCAAGAGTTGCCTAAGCATCCCTCCAAAATTCGTCCCATCCAATGCATTGATGGACATAACCGCCGAGCTCCCCGTTGGCGGCCTCAAGGGCGCCGTCGGTGGGCATTCTAAGTGAATTAAATCTGGAGACTCGGGAAAAGTCCACCGTCGGCGCCGTTGGGCTCGCTGTTGGCGCCCTAGTTCAAATCTTCACATTTTGGTCATTTTCGCTCCAAATTTGCTCCTTTTTTGCATCTTTTTGCTCCAATGACCCTAATTCATCATTCCTGCAACAAAATATCAAAAATACCTTTCCTTAAAGTGCAATATCATAAAAAATAGTGTAAAATATGTATGAAAATCTCAACATATTTTCCTTTGGTCAGTTGTCGACGACCTTGCTGCCACAGCCCAATCTGCAGTGAGTGCAATTTCCTAGGATTTTCTTTTTTTTAGTGGAACTGGTCATAAGGATACTGAATTTGAGATCTATATTTACGTAGGCACACTTCACCCAACTCTCATCAAGAAGATAAGAAGACCTCAGACTCTAGAGAAAGCTACGCTTTTATGTAACATGCTAAGATCTTCACACCCTTACGAGGTAGTTATTAGTTTCACATGCTCTAACCCTGACCCACACACAGTTAGAAGGATTGGCCTCAATCTGAGCGGTATCACCCATCCTACCCTACGACCTATAAGGAGTCGTCCGTCCTACAGCCGCCCGAAGTCGTCCGTCCTACAGCCGCCCGAAGAGGACCTGCAGTGAGCTTAAAAAAGGATCCTACAACGATATATAAAATCCCCATAACAATACCACTAGATCAAACTAGATCAAGCACTATTGACTTCATATTCGGTCAAAATCTTGGCTAATTAATCGAAGTGGGTAGCTCAAATAGATCCTTAGTTCATGGAACAAATAGGGTTGGTAGGCCACACTACATTTATAGATGTGAACCTACCTCGTTATCGTACGTGTGACTCTCACTGCATAATGCTCGCACAAAGACTCCTCAATCCATCATTCTTCCACCTCTTCAATCCACTTGCCTTGCGTTCCCCTGAAAAAAAAACAGACGCGCTACGACTTTCGCCGTTGCTTGTTCTTTTTCTTTCTTTGCTACCCAACATTGCACGCTCTTCTATGCTTGTTGCTGAAAACTACAGGTCTCCAAAAGCCTCCCACAGTGCAGGGTGTGCGCTTATTTTGACTATCATATGTATTGTTTGGCTTTGTCCCTAACCAAGGAGGCATTTTGGCAGGCGCATGCATGTGCCGACTGCAGAGTCTACAAGCCGATGCTGCAAGTGACTCACATCTCTTCTCGTTAGGATATAGATGGGGAATCTCTATAGATCATAATAGTTCGCCAACCTTTCTCACTAGCATATGATACAATTTCACTTCACTTCAAGGCACGAAAATAGAAAAAAGAAAGAGCTTCGCTCGATTGGCCCTCCTACGCTGACACCTACTTTCTCTTCTTTGAAGTCTACAACAAGTGGCAGAGGCAAGATTCAAAACTATGTATAAACCTTCAATAGATTTATAGCCTGCCGCTTTTGACCACTCGACCTTGTAAGCCGTACAAGAGGCGGGGTCGGGGGCCGGAAGGTGGTGCGCTCGTATAAATAAGAGCTCAAGTGTTCAATAATAAATTATTTTAAAAAAGATATTTTGATACTAAGTGTTGAGTATTGTTTTATAACTATAATAAAAAGTTGATTACAAAATAAATTGAAGATAAATGGATGAGTGATAAAATTTGAAAGACATCAATAGAAATGTAATATAACTCAATATTATAAATTTTTTTATCCTTATATGTTTGTTTTATATGAATAGATTATCAAAAATTTAGATTGATTGCATCGATTTTATGTCTGGCCATTTTAAAAATATTCCGATTGTCGCGATGATAGTTTATAAGAAAATTAAATAATGATTTAATTTGTTTTCATTTAAAGTGACAACTAACAAGGACGACACAAGCCTCCCGTTTTATTGTCCCCTCGCCTTTAAGCTCAACGGATAAAGCAGGGAAACCGGTAACGGAAAAAGAAGAGGAGCACGCTTCGTGGGTGAGAATGGTGCTGCTCCACTGTATCTTCGGAGGCGTCATCGCCTTTCTCTTAGGGTTTCTTTTGCTACTTAGGCATCGAATGAATAAGCCGGGTAAAATCGGGATTCATTCGGTGATGATGCCGGCCAAAGCTAGATCGCCATGTTCGGCAGATGTCATCGTTGTGGGAGCCGGCGTAGCTGGATCAGCACTTGCCTACACGCTTGGTAAGGTGAGGTTTCTTTTCGCAAACACTTTGCTTTCTCATTCTGATTTTATTCATCGGAGTATGTTTTTTTGGTTGGCAAAAGTGGAGTTCCGTTGGCCTGTTTTTTTTTTTCTGGAATTTGTTTCGCTATTTCTGTTATTTTCTCTTTTTTAATAAATATTCAGTGGAGTAGTTGACGGAGTTGTCATGCACTTACGCTGAATAAATTTATATTTAATGCGCTCACCAGTCCCGAAAAAAGTACCAATAAACTTCGCATTCCAAGTTGTTAAAAGAGTGGTTGTTGGTTGAATCACTCATGGAATTTGTCTCCTACATGGTATAAAACAAATAAAATAAATAAAAAAGTTCCATAAGCTCAATGATAAGAAAAACATGCAGAGTCCAATCTCGAACTAACACGTAGAAGGCGGAGTCCAATCCCGAGCTGACACGTGGAAGGGTGGACCCACCTACATAAAAAAAAAAATGTAAACCACCATTTTCCTGCCAACTTTTATAAAAACCTTTCGCTCTAGTGGAGTAGCTACTGTTCTATTGGTTATTATTTTATTGAAAGCTAGAGTTTGTTGTTTAGGGTATCTATGGACTTATCATTGAATGATGAAACGCTGGAAGACTTCCATCCATCATTCTCTCTCAACTTCGAAGAACAAGTGAGTCTATAATGTTTTTTAGTTTTATGTTAGGTTAGGGTTAGGTTAGTGTTTGTTTTTTGGTTCAGATAATTTTTATTTAGTATGTTTAGCTTGAAGTTAGTTTCTACTTTAGTTTTACTGCTTAGTTTTGAGTTATTTTTGTTTTACTTTACTCGTATTGGTTTAGTATTATGCCTATGCATGTTTGTTATTTTTTTGGCATTATACTGGTGTTATTATTGAGTAATTATGATTTTATGCATATGTTATTGTGATTTTTGCTTGTGATTTAGTGTTGTTATGTTGTAGTATAGTTGTCTTATACTGTTGTAAATTATGGTGTTAATGTGGTGTTTTTGGGTGGTGTTGAACAGTAATTATTCAACCATTTAACGTGTCATTATGGTGTTATTGTAATGTTATTGTCAGTGCTAACATGATGTTAGTATTTTATTTTTTTGGGTGTTATTTTTCGGGGCGTTGTGTTTGGTGTTATTGTCCTTTTATTGTTTATTTTATTTGATATTATCATAGAGTTATTCTCATGCATGCATTTCATCTAGTTATTTGTGGTGTTATGCTGGTATTATTCGAGTTTGTGCTGGTGCTATTGTATGATAATTGTTGTATAACAGTGTTAACGTGGTGTTTTTGGGTGGTGTTGTAATCTGTTGTTAATGATGGTGTTGATGTTGTGTTCTTGGTTTTGTTATTATTGCGGTGTTGTACAGTGCTTATGTCTTCTCTGATCATGGGTTAATTTTGTTCAAAATTGCAGTCTTGTGAGCCTAGAAATGTTTGCAATAATCCAATTGTAGAGAAGCTTTTTAGCACCACTCTTCACAATGATCAAGAAATACATGAAATTTATTTTTCCTAGGTACATCATGTATTGTTCGAAAGAACCATACTAGCTATTGACCGAACTCAAAAAAACTTAAGGCCAAAGATTTTATTTGCAAAAAAGCTGATCATAAAAAAGAGTCTAACATCATGGATATAATGAAGTTAAAAAAAACAGACACGAGGACTGGCTGTCAAACATGGTTTGTTATGCTGTCAATCTTGAGGACAATTGGACAGTAAAGAAATTCATTGAAAGTCATAATCATCCGTTGGTCCAAAGTGGTGACAAACATCTTTTTCGTTCCAGAAGAAGGATAAGTGAATTAAATGCAGATGTGTTGACATTAATGACAGGATCAGTGATCAGAGTAACAGATGCATATAACTTCATTACTACAAAGGTAGGTGGAGTGAAGAATTGGGAATGCACCAAGAGAGATGTGTTCAACTTCATTCAAAGAGAAAAAAGAGATAGAATTTAATAAGATGTCGTCAATGCTCTAATACAATGATTCATGGAGAGTCAAGCTAAGGATATGTTTGCCAGAGATTTTAAAATTGATGAGTATTGTAGATTAACAAGCTTTTTTTTGAGTGATGGGTTATCCTGACTTGATTATGACTGTTTTGGGGACATAATAATTTTTGATAAAAGTTATAGATTAAATAAGTATAATTTATGTTGTGCTTTTTTTGTGGGGGTTAACCACCACTGACAAAACGTCTTGTTTGAGGTTCGATTTTTGTAGTTGGATTTTTGTACGAGGAGATTATTGTGTCTTTAATGTGGTTATTCAAATTGTTTATTCAAATAATGTGTGACAAGCTTCCAACAATAATTTTCACCGATCAGGATCAAGGGATGACAAGAGCCATTGAAGAATTTCTCCTGCAGACATGACACAGATTATGTCAATGACATATCTACAAGAAATTGTTTTCAAAAGTACATTGTGGAATTTGTACCAAGAGCGACAACGGTCTTCTTTACAAATATATGAGTAAGTGCGATATTGAGGAGAATTTTGAAGAAACGTGGTTCTTAATGATTGAGATGAGAGACCTATACAACATTGTCTGTTTAGATGATATATACAAAATTATGTACAAATGGTCAACAACTTTTAATAAATATATATTTGGAATGAGAATCTTATCGATGCAGATTAGTGAGTCCATAAATAATATCTGTCATGACGCTTCCAAACCAATAAACTCTCTTAAGGATTGTTTTTTGAGACTTGAAAATATAATAAAATCGTGGCGCCAGAACAAGAAGGACGAATATTTCAAATGTGATCAATTTGTCACAATGCCCATGGTTAAAATAAACCTAGTGTTGAGACAAGCTGTCTCATTTTATACGAGGAAGCTTTACTTTATGTTGGAGCTGACGCTATTGAATTGGTTGTGGATTTATTGTTGAATATCCTTAGACAGTGAGTTTGAATATTATGTAATGAGTTTGGATGATAAGGGGACAAGGAAACCCTGAACTGTGAAAGTTGATATAGTCAATTCTGAGGTTAGTTGCAGTTGCAAAAAAATTGAAATGATGGGTCTGTTGTGTTCTCATGCACTATTTGTCTTTAATGTAGCTAAAATAAAAAAGATTTTTGAGAAATATTGCGGTGGTCTATTAATGTTAAAAAGAACATCTATAACAAAATAAAAGTATAGACATATATACTTTTTTTAACTCAAAATATAATTTAAAAAAAAATAAAACTTAGAATTATAAACTAATTTGAAGTTCTTTGATTGGCTGTTGTGAGTTGTATTCACAAGTCTTGTGTTGGAGTTAACGTTGGGTGCTAACTTGATCCCAATTGGTTGTACCCAACTTGTCTCACTGCGGGAGGATGGTACATGACGACTCTTTTTCAATGTGATGCTGCTTGACAAAGAAGAAGATGGATCCTTCCAGAGTGGAAGATCGCCTCAGATTACATGCAAGAGGTGGTAGTGTGCTTTAATTTTCAATCCAGTGATGACACAGGCAACATCGACCACATCAGGAATATGCTTGCATAGATCTTGTGAAGACAATTTGGATCACATAATAAGATTCATGTTCAAACATTCGTCATGAAGTCAGTCTACCCGTGAGCCGACCGTACTAAATACTGACCAACCCACAAAACACCGTGCCACCACGTAGCACTCTCTCAACCGACGTCAACTTTTACAGAAGATCGACATTCAATTGAAGACCATTATATCAGACAAAGATTATTCATCCTATCGAGTGATTATGGGTTGGCCAACTGAATACGAAATGTCCATGCCTGACAATTATAGATATGAAGGAGTGTCGGAAGCATTTACAAATACAAAGCGACGTCGGGGGCAGTTACATATGTAGAACGACGCCAACAACAGCTACAAGGCCAAGATATGTACTGTTTAGTTACGAATATTTAAGTGTGTAAAGGGTTTCAAATTGTAGTAACATTCTTAATAAATAGAGGGACAATCATGTAATTTGTGATACCTTACCGAAGAGTTATAAATAAAAGATTTATTTTCACTAGGAGGGGAACCCAGAAACTTGACAAAAAACTAAGTATTAGTTGTTCTTATTTCTCTTTTCTTCATTCGACCTACTTTATATTCCTTTGGTGTGATCCACAAGGCAACTTACGATCCAACTTTTTAAAAGGTGCAATGAGCATGGAGTCATGCCTTTAACAAGACGATAAGCGCATCAAGTTGAAGGAACACATTAAGGAGAAACATCCAATGTGGAAACCCTGTAGAAATTCTTGTAATAACAAATTCATTAGCTTCATGATCGGATGGTAGGTCAATTGCAAAGCTTGCCCGAGTGGTGCTTGAGCGAAGGGCGTAAGCTCTTCTGCAACTTGATCCATCAACACTCGAACCTCAAGCTCAGCAGGCAACCCAAGACACCGAGCGAGTGAAAGAGTCCTGATGCCAAGACAGTGTCAGATCTGCGCCAAAGAGAGGACCATAGCCAGGAGTGATAGAATTCTCTCTCTAGATTGAGAATGTGTTCACTCAACATGTTATGGAAGTTAAGCTGCTAGAGAGGTTTATGCTTCCCTCTTTGGAATCATACAAGGGTCAGAATGAATTTGCTGACCATATTGCATCCTTTGAGCTAGTAATCTGCATTCTCAAGATGTCCGATGCATTAAATGTTAGTTGTTCTACACAACATTAAAAGATTCCGCTCTCAGGTGGTTCAATGGACTTTCGACATGAATTATCAATTCCTTTGGAGATTTCAGGAAGTTGTTTTTGGCGTAGTTTGCTAGTGCCCAAAAATCACGAAAAGACTCAGATTATTTTTGGTATGTGAAACAGAGACCGAGTGAGAGTCTACGAGCATATGTTACAAGGTTACAGAAGAAGATGCTCGATGTACAAAATCTTGAGCTGGCTATTGCTAAGGCATCCCTGGTGCAAGGACTGAAATGTCCACAATTTTGATATTTTTTGGGTTTACGGAAACCTGAGACGTTCGTTGTATTCCTGGAGTGAGCCAACGATTAC